AGTGTTTATATATCAATTTAAATGAAAAAAATGCAAAAAAAAAAAAAATATTTATTTTTTATTTTTTGGGGCATTAAGGGCACTGGTTTTGAACCGAACCGGTGCCAATTGTTATTAAATACAAAAAAAAAGCGTTGGAGTGTTTTTTAGCACCGGTTAACCAGTGCCAAAAATAATAATTCGCACCGGTTAACCTGTGTGAAAGGTAAGAAATAGCACCGGTTTTGAACCGATGCGAATGTTTTTTTTTGGCATCCCTCAAATCTAAACTGATTCAAAACCGGTGTGAAAGGGGGGTTTTGAACCGGTGCGCATTTCATATTTTCTACTAGTGCAAATACCAAGCCTGGAGACATACATCAAAAGTGTCTCTGATTTTACACACCAGGGGCTGTATAACCAAAGCAAAAAGCAGAGGACCAAGGGGATCACTCTGCTGCACCCCCTGAGACGACCATAAGGTGTGGTCCCCGTAATACAATCTAGCTGGATTAGAGTAGTATAATTCAACCCATCGCGAAAGGCCCAGACAACGACGACGAACTTCACGTAACATGACTGCACGATCAACTAGATTGAAGACATTTTGAAAATCCACCAACAACCACTACTAGAAAACAGCCTATCAACAACGGAAAAAATCCGACGGGAAACCCTGAAATTCCGTCGGAATTGCCTATTTCCGACGGAATTCCGTCGGAAGGCACCGTCGCATTCCATGTCGTAGGAATTTCGCGATATTCCGAGGGAAATTCCGTCGGAAAGGTCCATTCCGACGCAATAGCTTCCCTCGGAGTCCAGTTTGACATAAATGGATATTCCGTCGCAAGATTCCGACGGACCAATTTCCGTCGGTACAGGATAGGTTCCGGCGGAATTTTCCGTCGGAAATGGTCCACCTTCCTACGGAATTGGAAAATTCCGTCGAAAAGTGCTTTAAAAAAAAAAAATTTGCGGTTTCCACCACACCCACCACCCCAGCGCCACCATACCTGCTTTATCCATCCCCTGCCCCCCCTACGCACTCATACCCCCTGCCCCCCTACGCACCCATACCCCCTTCCCCCCTTACCCATCCCTTGCCCCCCCTACGCACCCATACCCCCTGCCGCCCAGCCACCACCCACCAACCCCGTAACCACCCAAGGCACCCAAACCACCACCGTACCACCCAAAAAACATCAAAAAATTCCAACAAAAACCCGGATCTACCCACCACGCAACCTCCAACATCCGAACTCCAACATCCACTACCACCACCATATTTTTTCAAAAAAAAAAAACCCGAAAAGAACAACAAATTAATTAAAAAAAAAAAACAATATAACATACCTTAATTCGACCACACAAAGCCTCGAATATGGGTTTACGAGGTGAAATTCGACCATGAAAACCTTGTGTTTGACTTGAAAACCTTGTGTTCTTGATGTTGTTGATGTTGATGGCGAAAATGACGGAGTTGTTGGTGGCGTTGGTGGTGTTGGTGGTGTTGTTTACCTCGGCATTGGTGGTTAGTGAAGAAGAACGAGAGGAGAAGAGGAGGGAGAAGGAGAACGAGAGGGAGAAAAAAAGGGGGGGCGTAGAGGAAGAGAAGTAGGATGGAGAAGGAGAGGAAGAGAAGAAGGAGAAGGAGAAGGAGGTGTTAGAGGAGGATGAGAAAAGGTGAAATGAGGAAGTCAGGAAGAAGGAGGAGGAAAGAGAAAAATGAAAATGTGAATGAGAAAGAAGGGGCGGCTGGTAAGTGGTGAGTGTTTTAGGGTTTTTTTTTTAATTTAATTATATTTCGACGGAATATTCCGTCGGAAAATTCCTACGGACTTTATTTCCGTAGGAAGTTTGATGTTCCGACAGAATTATCTGTCGGAACCTTCCGATGGATTTTATTTCCGTTGGAAATTTAAAGTTCCGACGGAATATTCCGTCGGAAAGCCTATATTTTCCTATGGAAATATATTCCGTCAGAATATCTGATTTTTCCGACGGAAATACATGTCCGTCGGAAACTGTCCGTTGGAAATCGACCTATTTCTAGTAGTGACCATGGAAAGACCAACATCGGAATCACGATCCTCAATCAACCGATTCACAGCATGAAGAATCGCTTAACCTCCCGAAGAAATGCCAACACCAAATTGGAGACCATCAAAGTAATAACTTCCTAAAGATTAGCCAACCATAATAGCACCGACCTTCAAAACCAGACGCCGCCAAACAGTACCCACAACTATACGACGAATACCATCACCAGGCTTGACAAGAGGTGTGAGAGGAGCACTAGCAATATACTCTCCTAGTTCCATAGGACATCTTCCAGCTAGAAAGAGATTAACCACCCTGGAAATAGAGTCAACTAACTCATCTGAGACAGCCACAGCAGCACCACTCAAGCAATCCATAAGGTGCTGAGCACGTAAACCGTCCCTACCACAAGATGTGCCACGCGGAAAACTCTTAACCCGATCCAAAACTACAACAGAAGTAGTAACGAGATGAATAAATAAAATTATATATGTTAAATTAATAAATAAAATCTAACTAATCTATTACTCCGCATAAGGAAGATTATAGGATAATTGTAAACTTCAACACGTGATTAAATTAGAATAAAGAGGGAGACTTAATCACCATTAACAACCACATAATTGAAGAGAGTTTAAAAGAGGTTACAACGGAAGAGGAAGATGAAAAAGTCAATAGACATGTTGTTGAATGACTTTAGATATGGAAAAAGACTAATATACAACCCACCCGTGGGCAAACGTGATAGGTCACAATCTACTCGTGCAGTAAACTGAACAAGCTAGAAAAGCAACAATTTGATCAAAAAACAAGCCTTTTTCTCTATTTACTCCAACAATTAATAATAGTGCAAAAGCATAAATTTTGCAATGTAAAAAATTAAAGTAGGAAATACAATATCATTTTATTTAATATTCTTTCCGTTTCATAAAAATCACAACACTTTTTGCATAACTAACTTTGACCACAATATTAATGATATGTTATTAAGAAATATAAAAAGTTAATATAATGATTAATATACATAATGACTAATCCAAAAATAATTTATATGGCAGCATATTCTTTTATTTATTAATAAAACATTTAGTCAAAGTAAGCTTATGAATATTGCAAAAGTTCTCAAACTGTTGCGATTATTATAAAACGAAGGATTTATAAGTTTTGGCCCCCTTGAGTCTTGATTTCTGTTGGCTTCATTATTCTTGGAGGGAGCCCACTTTATCACCTTAATAAACTAATTTTGTTCTTCAATTGGCAAAATCATAATAAATTAACGAAAATGTCTAGTCAGCATGACATTTTTGTAATTATATCGACAACTTTGGGGCCCATATTTAATAACAAGTTATTGATTTATTTACAGTTTTAGAGTGATAAACCTGTATAATCTCGCGCTCTTGCCTCCTGGGTCTCAGGGCAAATCCAGGGGGTACACAGAGGTACAGTTGTACCCCCATTGTCCAAAAAATAAAAAGGAAAAAAAAATGTTAGCAAGGAGACCTGTTTTTTCAAATAACAGGTCTCTTAGGTACTTCCATACTCCATAGTATCAAGTCATACAATCTTGCGTGCAGCGCGCTATCTGTATGATAAAAATAAAAAGAGACTATTTTTATAAAAATAACTGTCTCTTAGGTACTGTCAAACAATCTAGCATGCACTATTGTCTGTATATTGAAATAAAAAGAGATCGATTTTTGTGGATAACTGGTATCTTAGGTGTGCTCTTTTGATTTGATTTAAAATCAACTTCTTTTTTTAAAAAAAAAAATTAAATAAAATTATTTTCTTCTAAAGAAATCCTATATGCTCATGGATGTGACAATAATTTTCTTTGCATTTTGTAATATATTTCTTTCACACAAATTTATATCAATTCTTTAAAAATAAAAAACCTTTAGTATGGTATTTTTCATTGTCTATCTCTTCTTGTACTACATATTGTGCAATTAATATACTCATGTGTTAAATATGGAAATATATCAAAGTAAGTGTATGTGATTAGTTATACATAATTAAATTATATTACAAGTACTTCGTACATTTTAGTGTATATGCATAGTCGTTAGCTTCAAATTATAATTTGTATGGCTGAAATCTTTATTTAAGTGTAACCTGTGATTATATAATTGGTTTCTTTGTTTTGTTCAATTATAGACAAATTTAGGGGTGGAATACACGCAATGACAAATAAGAGTAAGAGTGTGGAATTAATAATTAATTGAAAGTCTAGTATGGAAAATTTTGTGTTTTATAAATTTTTTTAACAAGCCTAATTCCGTACCCTCATACCTAAATTCCTGGATTCGTCACTGCTGGGTCTAACATGTCAGAGCCTGAGAGGTGCCCATTTAACACTGTCTTGTTTACCAAAAAAAAAAAGTACGCTTTTGGGCATTTAATAGGGGTTAGATATAAACAGGGTTTCTGCACACTTGAGTGACTGAATGTTATGGTAAGAGTACGTACTCTTGCACGAGGGCATTCAGTGTCTTTGTTGGAGTGCATATAGGCGCATAGGGCCTATGTATTTTGCATGCATATAGGAGGGCAATAGGGGATTCGGTGGTACATTTTCTCTCTTTTCATGGTACAGTGGTACATTTTTGTGTACTATTATGCATATATAATATATTAAAATATAAGTTGTCTGAATAGTACTTTTTATGTAGTATTATGCATGTAGTGGTACTTTTTGTCATCATATTTTCTACCACTGATTTTTCTAAGATTCCCATTATTTACAAAAATACCATCCTATTTGCAAGTGAAATATATAGGGCTTATGCGTCAATACTTATTCTCTTTGTTGTACGTATTAACATTACCAAGTCGTGATTGTACCAGTTAACGCATAGTTCTCATGACTTGACGCAAATATAGCGTGTATTATAAGGTAAAACTCGAAATTGAAAGATTAGACAAAGATTACTAAATAACAAATTAACCAGACAAAAATCCAAGGAACGAGTGGTGAATGGAGGTCCAAAGTCAAGTCCATAGAAAAGTAGTGGCCCGGAGTCAAGTCCATAGAAAAGTAGTAGAGATTATATGCATATCAACGTAACTGATTGCCTGAATGTACATTAAGAGATTCTTTAGTCCAAAAAATATTATTAATTCCAAAAAAAAAAAAAAAAAAAAAAAAGAAGAAAATTTATGCCGTGGGTTTGGGTAATGGCCTTTAACACCATCAATATACTTATACCATACTTGTTGATTTACAATCATGGATTAATTTTCTCCTTGGCTGCTGATGATGCTGCAAATTTGACTTCGTTAGCCGATAAAAGAGTTGCTGCAGGTATAATTAATCTCCTAATAACTTGCTTATACATTCAATTAATTATTATGAAGCTTTATTTAAATTATTGCAAGTACTACCTAAATTTGTAAGCTTTCATATATATTTTGTCTGTTCACTTTTAATGTCGTTTTTTAATGCATAATTTCAATTATTAATATCTTTTATTATTAATATGGAAACATTATAAAAATCTGATATCGATAAATCATAAATCGAGACGAATTTAACAAGATTCCACACATATGATTATATTTTTCCTTAACTATTAATTAACAAAGCTAGTTAAAATAAAATATATGAATAACGTAAAAGTTAAAGTCTTGCATTTTAACCATAAATAAAAGTTCCAACTGGTTTAATAAAAAAAAATTAATACATATTAAAATCCCAACTAGTAGCATCACATGACATTATTTATTTATTACTCATTTTGAGCCAATCAAAAAAATAAATAAGCAACATGCAAAATTAAAGTATACGCATATGTACTACTGTACTAGGATTGATGATTATGATTATAAATCCAAATCTTCTAACTATTCACCAAGTGTGTTGCTTATATGTATTTAAAAAATTAAAAATATTATAGTGGTCATCCTTAAAATGAGAAAGCATGCATAAGGGCGCAAATAATTGGGATTTTTCACTTAATTACCGCAGCTAAGGCAACTACGTAACTGAAACAAAGTATTGTAACCAAGACAGAAATTTGGTCTAACCATATAAGAAAAGGGATCACACTAAACATCATCTTTCGATGCAAGTATAAATAGTGAATACATGAGCAATAAGTGACCATCTAATTAATTACACATGCAATAAACCAATTCTTTAACAATCAATCATCAACCCAGGCCAAAGTGAACATGCAAGCACATACAATTAATCAACCCATGGCTTGGTTTGGTCATCACCTGATTCCTAGCTAAAGGACTACTCACTTATCATGGTGGAAAACATTCTAACAACAAAATCTAATTTTACCATTAATCTAACAAGTTGAGAGAAGTGATAATTAGAGATAATATAGGATAGAATGAACATGCAACAATAATTAAGCAAGGTTAAAAGAGAAGCTAGCAATTAAAAGTAATTAAATTAAAAGCAGAAAATCTTAAGTGGAATAAGACTACTGCTAGAAGCTTCAAAGTTGGAAAAATGGTTGAAATTAAGAAAACAAACTTCAATCAACTACTACAAATCATTGAGTTTGAGAGAATAATCTAAGTTAATCAAGAAGAAAGCTAAGAGACTAAGGGCCTATGAAAGTTTAAGGGAAAGAAGATTGTTCATAATGAGCTAAGGGAGGTATTTATACCCCCTCGTTTGAAGCGCCCGCTCCACTTAAGAGTGCACGCCCGCTCCTCTAGGATCAGGGGGGAGGCAGAATATGGTAGACATGGAGGAGTGTCCGCTCCTCAACTTCTGCGTACCTGCGCCTTTGTAAATGAGTAGGAGATACGGTAACTACATGAGGGGCTAGGTAGATCCTCTCCTAACACTACAAGAAAATTGGTCATTTTTTACCAAAAATTTCGTCGGAAACACCCGGTCGGAAAACCCGTTTCCGACGAAATTTCCGTCGGAATCGGTTGTCGGAACAACTTTTGTAGGGAAAATGACCTTTTCGACGGAAATTTCGTCAGAAACACTTTTTCGACGGAAATTCCGATGAAATTCAATCGTCGGAAGAGATTTTCCGGCCCAGGAAAAGTCTGTTGGAAATTGTCGATGGAATGTATTCCGGCGGAAATTTCCAACGAAAATTCTGTTGGAAACCCCTGCCAAAAACAAAAAAAATAAAAAAGACGCTCCACCACCAGTAATGCCACCGGCCACCACCATCGCCTTAACCCATGACTTGGCCTGTCTCCAGATCTACATCCCTAACCCTAAACCCACCACAACCTAAACCCACCCAACCTAACCCAGATCTACATTCCTAACCCACCCACGCAACCACCACTCTCTTTCCCCAACCACACCATGCATGCAAACCATCCGCCCAGACCTTGGCACAACCCACGACCACTACCAGCCCCAACCCCACACCACGACCACCAACCTAAACCCACTCTTTCACTCCTCCTCGACACAACTCACGACCAACACCATAACTTAAAAATTATAATTAAAAAAAAAAAACAAAACCAAAACAAAAAAATTAATTATACAACAAAACAATACCAAGATCTACAACCCTAACCCACCCACGAAACCACCAACTAACCCAAACCACCATATCCATATCGAATTAAAAATTAAATTAAATAAAATTAATTTAAAAATCGAAATCATACCGTAAAAGTCGAATAATTACCTTAAAATCGGTAATGGCTTTGAATTACACCTCAAATATGGCTAAAAAGGCCAAATTCGACCATGAAAACTCTAGATCTAGAGTTTTCATGGCTGAATTTGGCCTTAAAAACCTCTAACTTGTTTTTTAAAAACCGTAAAAACTCTAGATCTGATGTTGGCGGTGTTGATGGCGGTGGACGAGCAAGTGTTGGGGAAAGAGAAAAAGATAGGGAAAGGAGAAAGAGAAAGGGGGAAAGAGAAGTGGAGAGAGAAAGAGAGGGGGCAGAAAGGGTTAGATTTAGAATTTTATTTTATTTTAAATAAATATTCAGACAGAAATTTCTTCGGAAAATTCCGACGGATTTATATATCGTAGGAAAGTTAACTTCCCGACAGAATATTCCGTCGGAAAGAACAAATCTTCCAAGGGATTTATATTCCGTCGGAAATTTCCGACGGGTTTTTTCAATTTATCGGAAATATCCGACGGAACATAAATTCGTCAGAAATTTCGATTCCGGTAGATTTACGTGTCCGTCGGAATTAAGCTGTTTTCTTGTAGTGTAAGCTTGTCGTGCATTGTTTTAGAGCTTCTTTCGCTTTGTCAACCGCAACTTATCTTGTACACCTGCAAACACGATCAAACACAAAAGAGATGGAAATACCCAAAAGACTACAATTATGTACACACGGGGTTAGAAAAGGCATAAAATAGGGAAAAGGCTACAAGTTTCAGGTTGAAAACACCTCCTAAAGTGGACATATAAACCACTAATCAAATTCTTCCAAGTTATTCAATTGCTTGCCCCCAAGCAATTTACCATGAACAAAAGAAACTAGTCCACTCAAAGAAAAGCACATGCATAGATAAAACAATTTTGGACCCTGATTAATAACCACCAATCATATCGATACACCCAACTTATGCCCAATTAACGCTCTCATGACCTTTAGCTTGCCTACACTTCCTTGGATAAGTTTTGGCTCAAACTTTCTGGTCGTGGCCGCATCCGCGATGGTCAGAAGGAGTTCCTTTGTGAATTTTCTTTATGTCTAGAAAAAGAAGTTTAACAATTACTTTTGCAAACCACGGCCTGTTAGCTTGCTTCAAGCCATGAAGGGACATTTTCAAGATCACACCTTCGTTTTATGAGAACACCGTACCATCAAGAACCTTAGCTTCATATATACTTCTTCAGTTAAATCCCCATGAAGAAAGGCAGTATTTATGTCTAACTGATGAACTAACCAATAACAATATTAATAGTTTAACATTAATAAAATATTTTATATCAAAAATTGATATGATGAAAATTTATGCCAATATCTATCTAAAAACATTTTACATGATAATTTTTATATTATACATTTGTTTAAAACCATAGTTACATTTAATTTATAATGAGTGAAAAGAGTAAAGTGAATCGATTATTATGAGATAGAAGGAATAATACTTCCAAATATCATATATTAAATAGTTAAATATGTGTAATTATGTACTATGTTTTTAATTTGAAAATATTAGTATTTGATAAAATTGTACATTCTGACTAATCCAACAATATATATTACATGATAGTATTTTATTATTGTAAAATAGTAAAAATATAGTTAAAGTTAATACAGAGTATTCGAATGAACGAATTTTATTTTAAGAAACTCAGTTATACATTTGAAAATTTGTGAAAAACTACATTATAAAAAAATTATGTAATTATATACCTTATATATAAGACGCAAAATGATGTATATCACCACCTTATGCCGAAGTTCTCCCTGTTCACCAAGTTTTCTGACATGTACATCTCACTTGACATTTAAAGACCCCAATTCTCACCTTTTTTTAAAAACCCTTATTAACTTATTTTAATAACTCTAATTGGAGTCAATAAATGTCACATGAGAGGCACGTGATAGGTGAACGCTGGAAAATTAGTTCAACAGAGAAATATGGCATAGGTAGCAAATTAATTACAAAATTTTGTGTTTTAAGGTCGTTAATTACAACATTTCATTATAAGCTAAGGTAATTTTCTTTTAAATTTCAACAAAAAAATCTTTTTCGAATGTAACATTTTATAATTTATACTTGTCATTATAATCATTTCAGTGTATGGTTTTCGAATAGGTATGGAAAAGTCTCTCTAATTCTACATAGAAATACAATCAATCTCATTCTTAAATATGAGTTTTTGTTCATGCATGTTTTTCTTTACGATCCCTACCATAGTACCACTTGGTACTACGGAATAGGTATGAATGTAAAATCATGAAGAATAAAAATTTAGGATTCTTCTTGGATGATCATGGGAATAAAAAATTGATGTTCTTAGCAAATTTACGTATAAATTCATTTCCATTACCATTGGCTATCAGACGGCGTGTAAAAGCCATACTTTTTAGAAGTAAAAACTAGCAAAGTATTGTAGGCTTGTAGCATAGATAAACAAGTTCAATTTTGGTTTACTAATTACTTAGCTATATTGCGTAGATACCATGAGTAGTGTGTATATTGATTATCTGCGCTGTTTTAGAGTTCCATTTGTTAATTTTTTTCCATTACATATGCATATAAGGTGATTGTTTGGTGTTCCATCATATCTTTGAAGTATGTGTAGAATAATGGAGAGAGACAGCTCAGCACCCATATTAGATGGAAAATACAAGTTAATTGATTAATTGATAGAAATAGGAAATTCAGATTGCAGTTAGTACAGTTCTACTAATGTACAGTTCTACTAATTTGTGGATTTCATGTCTTAAGGGACGGTAAAATACAAAATTTCCATAATAAAAATAATGGAGAGATGTAATGATGTTACCGAGTTCATTGCAGTTTGGCTGATTGCTGACTTGCTAAGTGGAATGTTATTGTTCTCCCGTTACATTAGAATTGGGATAGAAATTACTTCGTTCCCTGACTGCTACGTATAGAGGATTTATCATCATGATAAGTTACTCCCTATATGTTTGTAGCAAACAATAGAATTTCTGGTGTTTAAGCTTTTGATTGCATTGAGCACCATAATTGTTTGATTAATAAATTGCTATGTAAAGCGTATTTATTCAACTTAGCTATACATATGCTAACGGGTTTCTTTCGAATTGAATTTGAAGGTTTCATCAGCATTGACTGTGGAATGGTGGGAGATCCACAATACAGCAAAGACAATGGCGTATATTACACTTCAGATATAGGATTCATAAACACTGGAACAAACATGGATGTACAAGTCGACTACCAGTCTAGTCATTGGCCAATGTATAACACGGTTAGGAGTTTCCCAGATGGTAGCAGAAATTGTTACACTTTGAAACCTTTACAGGGCAAGAACACACATTATTTGATCAGAGCTCGTTTCCACTATGGAAATTATGATGGCCTGAACAGGAAACCGCGGTTTGATTTGTATATTGGAGTTAATTATTGGGCGACAGTAAAATTTATCAGTGTTGAAAATAAACCCTTTTATGAGATTATATATACCTCCCCTGTAGATCTAATATATGTATGTTTAGTGAACACTGGATCAGGGACACCTTTTATTTCAGGGTTGGAGTTGAGGCCTCTGAACAATTCAATATACAAATCCCCTAAAGGGGCACTAGCGTTTTATTTGCGCTTGGATGCTGGCATATCAGTTACGGATACAGATCCACTAAAGGGGCATTATTCCAGGTATTTCCTTCATGCTAACTATGCACATCATGTATTAACATAGGGCAAGATTGCATTGTAGGTAATAAATTAATGGTATGAATGGTATGATACAAAGGGTGTATGTGAAATACAGAGGGACCTTTCACCGAGGCCATTTGGGGCCTGGCCCCAGTTAATTATTGTAATTAATTAATTATTGAGCTTTAAATCCTATATTTACTTACAAACATTGGAATGTAGTGATTAGTTTTGAGCAATAGGTAAAAGAACAAAATCTTGGCCCCTTTTATTTCGGCCCAGATCCACCACTGGTGAAATATGTCTTATACACAAGCTTAAAATTTCTAGTTTAGAAATCTAAGTGATTCCTCCTACCAATTATTTCAAGAATGGAATCTCACTTGGATTATGACAGTTTATTAGTCCAAGGTATCATGGTGCTCTTTACCTTAATCATGCATAGCCTTTAATATCACGAAGTTTTCGTAGTCTTAGTTTGAAAGTCGTCCTTTTTTTAATCATTCTAATAACTTATGATATCTCTGTGGAAATTTCAGTATCAAAGATGATCCGTATGATCGACCATGGGCTCTGGCTAATAAGTTATGGGCATCTTGGGACTCTTTGAGCTCTAATGCATCCATGAATTTCTCATTCACAGACGCTTATGAATTGCCACCTTCAGTTTTAAAGACAGCCGCCATACCTGAGCATGGTGGTGATTCCCTAATGTTTGATTGGAATTATTCATCAATAACTGGCTCATATCAAGTTTACTGGCACTTTGCTGAAATTCTGAAGCTGGGAATCAATGATTCAAGAGAATTTTCAATATCTATGTCTGGAAATTTTGAATCAGGAAAAATTAGTCCCGAATATGGACGACCCATAACGGTTGTTTCTCCGGTTACACAATTTGATGAATCTCAGCTTAAGTTTAATATTATGAAGACTTCAAACTCAACACTCCCTCCGATTCTCAATGCTCTGGAAATATATAAAGTTTTGGACCTCCCTGCATCAGCGACATACCAAAAGGATGGTACATTTAAAATTTAATTATTATGTATAACTACTTGCATTTATGTTACACTAAGGCGACTAAGCCACTTCAAAAATATACTTACTGAGGTTAAAACTGAGCCCTTTCTCCTAAGAAAAAAAAGTAAAATAAAAGCCAAATTTAGGGGCTACAAATGGCAGCCCAGGTAACTGATCTGGTAACTGATCTGATCAAATGTTTAGTAGAGAGATTGTATTTAATTTCCTTTTAACTCTCAATAGATAGGTTGATCTTTCCTAAATAGTATACGTATAAAAAAAACACTAGTTTGATATTTATGTTATCCGATTTCTGCATGTGTTTATTCCCTAACCAGATATTTTCCGCTTATGTTATGCCAGTGGATGCTATTCTGAATGTGAAGATGAATTACACTGTGCCAAAAGATTGGCAAGGAGATCCTTGTCTTCCTCATGCTCCCTGGGATGGTTTAAATTGCAGCAATAGTGTTGACAATCACCCCCCACGAATAATTTCTCTGTGAGTCTAAATTTTACTACCTTTGTTTCATAATAATCGCAAGAGTTTTGACTTAAGCATTAATTTATATGCTTACTTTGAATATACTTTTTACCAATACCAAAAAAAAAAAAAAAAATTGTCTGATAAATATTTTCATTATAATTAACCTTTTGTACTTATTAATAATAAATCGGAAAAATACACTTTGTTAATCCCAACTTTGCCTAATTTACTTTAAATAATTCTAACTATCGATTATTTTACGATAATCCTAACTTTCACCTTCGTTATCTTCTAAGAGCACTAACAATGGTGAGCTAAAAATTTGCTCATGGGCATTTTGGGTGGGCATAAAATTTGATCATGCAATACAATGGTGAACAAATGAGAAAAAGCCAAAAACTGCTCATGAGCATTTCTGAAAATGCCCAAAACTTGAGCATTTTTGAAGATGAATAGTGCTCTGGTGGACCCCACAATTTGCAATGGTTATATTTTTTGTAATTCAAATTTTTAAATAAATATTTATTAAAAAAAAATTAAAATTACCAACGGTCATAAAATTTAATTATCTATAAATAGACATGCATTTTGGTATATTTTGGTATAATTTCAGAAATACCATAAATCCTCCATATTCTTTATTTTAACGATAAAAACGACACAAATAAAAAAAAAATAAGTTACACAAATTTAGACTAGTTTTTATTTATTTGGAGTAATATTGTTAAAATATAAATGAAATTAATAAATAAAGAAGTGTTGTGTAGGAGAGAGAAAGTAATGGTGGGGTATTGAAAAAGTAAGAGAGAGAGAGTAGTGGACAAGCATTTTTTTTGCTCACCATTGGGAGAGAAATTGTGAAAAAAATTTGCCCATGGGCAAAACAGATTTGTTGAGAGAGAAAGTGGGTGGAAAATTTTTTGCTCACCATTGAGAGTGGTCTAACAATCCCAAGACCGGTTACCTGCTAAGAAGTGTATTTTTTTTTTTTTAGTAATTAAGATGCCACATATCACACATTGATTGGTCCAAAAAAATAAAAAATAAAAATAAAAAAAAACCACAACCACCCCTCTTTCCCAACTCTGGCCACCAGAAAACCTTCTCCAGGCCCATCCCCTCTTCCCTAGCGCCATCGGATTCCACCCTTTCCCTCATCCACCACCAATACCGTCCCCAACAGCCACCCCCTCACCCCTAACCCGCGACCGCACAACCATAACCCCCAACAAAACCCGCTGCCGCACCGCCCAAACCCTTCAATAAAACCCGCTACCTCACCGCCCAAACCCATCAACAAAACCCGCTGACGAGTGAGTCGGGAGGTGAGTTTTGTGGGGTTTCCGGAAGGAGGAGATGTGGTGAGATGTAGTTAATGAGAGGGGAGAAGTCGTTGCAGTTGCGAGATTGTGAGAAGTCATTTTGGAATTCGGTAGTGAGGTGGTCGTTTCTGGCTCGCATGATCGGGGTAGGGGTGCCGTTTGGGGGCTGGAGGAGGTGGCTACTTAATTTTTCTTTATTTATTTTTTTTGTTTTTTTTTTTTAATTTTTTTGGACTACTCACAATCCAACATGTGTCCAGCAACCTACAATAACAGATTGTTGTCTTTTGTTAACCGGTTTGGGATTGTTAGAAGAAAATGGAGGTGAAAAAAAGTTGGGATTATTGTAGAATAATCGATAGTTGGGATTATTTAAAGTAAATTTGGCAAAATTGGAATTAGTAAAGTGTATTTTTCCTAATATATTATTAAGAATATTATAGGTCAAAGTTGTGTATAAACATCTGTGTCAGTCAAAGTGTTGTGATTATTATGAAATAGAGGGAATGCTACTTTAGAATCAGTATATGCATTTTTTTTAAATAGACACAAATTACAGGAATTTGGCTCACAGCGGTTTGACCGGAGATATACCTCATTCATTGTCCGCACTAACATCTTTAGTCTACTTGTGAGTATATACGACTTCTTTACACTTGAGATTTATTAGAAGTAGAAAATATGTACTGCATAATATATGATTTGATATGTTATGTAACGAATTAAACCAAGTTGCATATTTTTTTAGGGATCCTTCAATTTCCTCCAATCTCATGCATGGTGTTATAACATGATTTCTTGAGGTTATCTACGTTTGGCTGCCAAATGTTAAGCCAAGCTAACTACTACTAGAATTTTCTACAGGGAATTAAGGGAACATCAGCTTGTGATCAGGCCGTATAAGTGTGAATAATATTTGCAACAAATTACCTTAGATACTAATGTGATATATTCTTGTGCAGCATTGATATCCCCGAAAGCTTATACTGGTGGTTATTTAAATGCACAACGTTACATAATATAACTCATTGTTTACTTTCTTAGTACTCATATTCTATGGTAAACTCTTGGTTATTGTGTTTGTGCTTCATTCAGGAATCTTTCACACAATAGCTTGACCGGGGTCATACCTGATTTTCTGGCTGAGTTACCATCTCTGCGTACAATGTAAGTTCTTCAAAAAGTTGAATATCGAATTGAAGTTGCTCTGTGAATTTAAGATTTGTAGTTAACCTGTTTACTCCAATTCTATCAGAGATTTAACAAGTAACAATCTTGTTGGCCGAGTTCCAATAGCACTCAGCAAAAAGAAAGAGGATGGCTCATTAAATTTGAGGTTCGGTCATCACTAGTAGATTTCTAAGCTACATGAAAATTAGTAATATCTTTATATGTGCCACAAATCAGCAATCTTGACATAGTAGTTTGAGAGATTTCTAATAACAATTTAAATTTTAGAAGTTCCTAACTACTACTCCCCCCTCCCAAATCCCCTTCTCTAGTTTGGAGGACAATCCAGGTCTTTGTTCGTCGAACTCATGCAAGAAGAAGAATCCAAAGAAGATCGCAGTTATTTTAGCTGCAACAGTATCTCTTATTTTCATCTTCGTTGCTATAGGAGTATACTACAAATATAAACAAAAGAAACCAGGTATCCATTTTTTTTGGTACTCATGATACTTGTACTTTACAGTATCTTGAACTTTAACGAGGAGGACCTGTCTCTAACGTAGACATCACCAAAGTAGTGTATGTGAAGGTAGAGTCATGGTCATCCCTTACACCATTTATGGTATGAGCACACTCAATTGAACATCCAAAAACTAAATATGGGGCAATTTAAGGGCAATGTTGTAAGAGTGTCTTATTATTATATTAACGAGGTTAGGTTGCTTATTAGGTGTTGTGTGGTGACTTGCAGGGCCGTTTCTCAGTTTTTAGGGGCCTAAGGGCAAACTAATAATTAGGGGCCCTATAAATTTGGGTGTTTGCGTGATATACTAAATATACATTTAATTTCTTAAACAACTATACTTAAAACTAGTACTCCCTCCGGCCCATTATTTCGTGCCTATTTCATTAAAAACACGGTAATTAAGGAGAATGGTGGAAGTAGGAGAATATTCTATTGGAAAGACAAAAAGTAGATAATATTGTATGGGATAGATAAAAAGTAGAGAATATTGTATGAATAAGAGAAAAAGTAAGTAATCATTTTTTTGGTATATTTGCATTTTGTATGGAAAAGATAAAAAAAGTAAGTAATGATTTTTTGGGTATATGTGTATTTTGTATGGGAAAGATGAAAAATAAGTAATGATTATGGGCTATTTTTAGAAATAGGCACAACATTTTGGAACGCCCAAAAACGAATACAGGCACAAAATTATGGGACGGAGGGAGTATTAACTTAAAGTGCGAATACGCTACAGTTCAAATAAAAATGTTATTCTATAAAATTCATTAACCGAAAAAAAAAAAAAAAAAAAAAACAGGTCAGTAGGGTGAAACTTGGGAGTATCATATATTACCTTGGATATACACAAAATAAATAGTGTTATTACACTTTTTATAAGATTTATTAGAAATTTTATACCCTATTTGTCCCAGTTTATACTTTATGTATTCTATTTTTGGTGTTTTAAAATGTGGTTAACGTTCTAGTTTACATACTTTTATAATATTTCCTTTGTTTTTTTAAGTTCCTTAACTTGTTTTTGTACAATATTAAGAGACAAGAGAGTAGTAAATAAGAAAATTGGAAGCCGACTATAAAAAAAAAAACTCAAAAGGCTCAAAAAATGAGGGGGGAAATTGAAACAAATACAAGAAGAAAACAAGTAAAAATAAAGAGTTCTTATAAATTTCCCAAAAAAAATAATAATAAAAAAAAAAAAAAAAAAAAAAGCAAATGGTTAAAATAGAAAGAAGAGTAGATTAAAAATAAAGAAAGAAGTAGAATTGAAAAATGAAACAAAAATATGAATAACTTAAATGTTTTGTTATTTGTAACAATTTTTATTTTTATTTTTATTTTTATTTTATTTTATTTTTTTTCTATGTATAGTAAGGGTAAGAATTAATATACCAGTTTTAGAAATTGAATTTCCCAGATTATTAGAGATTCACCCTAAATGTGGCCTAGAATCAAAAACATACTTTATCTTGTCAATTGACTACGTTACTTAATTTAGACCTTCACCCAACATTTTGCTATCTCAATAATAGATCTAGAAGTAGTAATCAACTAATAGCAACATATGATTAGCCGTGCAACTTTGAAAAGCACTATGATATGGTGGATAAAGAGGATAGGATCATTTTATTGGGTATTCTGCAAGTCACTAATGTTATTTTAAATTTATACTCCTCCGTCTCCAAATGTTTTTTTTTAAATGGAGTTAGGTTAAGGTTAAAGATTCCTACCCGAAAACGACCCACGTAACTCGAAAATATTTTTGGGTCAAAATTAAGTCGGGTTCACCCGAATTCGACCTGATAACCAAAAACTGGATAAGTAATGTAAAAAAATTCCTAAAGAAACCTAATGAAATTAGCCCAAGCCCATATATAGGTCCATATAAAAACAAAAACCCTAAATCCTTTCAAACTCACTCCTCTCATCAGCTGTAAGAAGTCCACTTTCTCTCTCTCATTGTCTCATGCTTCATTCTTCTCTCAATTTTCTCTCTCTTCAATTCACAAGAAATCAATTCCTAAAATCCTTTGCAAGTTCAAGTGTTCCTCCTTCATGTCTTCCTCTCCTTCACGCAAATCAAGTTTTAAGTTGCAAGTGTTTTACACTTTCATCAATTTATAATGTAGTTTGCTGATTTCAAAATTTTATTTTATTTTATTTTATTTTATTTTTAATTTTTTTTTAACGTTATTATATTGTTTTGCTTTTAGATTTTTGTTGTTGTTAAATTAAAAGTTTAATACACTTAAGATTCTATTTTTAATTTATGTTGTTGTTTTGTTGATATAATTTATGCGGTTTACCAAATTTATACGGTCTTGTTCATATAATTTATACGATTAACCTAATTGAAGCACGGAACCTAATATCATATTATTATTAGAAGAGGTCAATTTCAGATTAAAGCACCTTGATTTAAAATTAAACATAAAATCAGGTCAAACAAGGTCATTTTCGGGTTGACCCGAACCCGAAAATATCAGGTTCGGGTTGGGGTTTTTAACCCGAAAAGTTAAATGGATCAGGTTCGGGTTGGGGGTAGCTAACCTGAAACCTGTTGACCCGAACACGAACCCAACCTGACCCGACCTGATCCGTTTGCCAGCCCTACATAGAAGAAAAGGGATATGAATGTTCGATTGTCTACAAACAGAAGCAAATGATATCGTTTGATTGTCTCTGAAAATAAGCGATATTATTCGATTATGAAGTTCTAGATAGCTACTACAAGAGGGGGGGTGAATTGTAGTATAGGTGAAGTAGTAAACTTTTTGTGGAATTAAAACAATGTAAAACAATTCAGAGAAATGATATAGGCTTTTTGAAATTTCCACTATGTAAATCAAACTCTTTTACAAAGTGAATAATAAACTCGGACTAATTAAGTTCCACAAGAACGGAACTTGTTCCCAACTCTCTCAGAAGTTTCGACTTTGAAACTTCCTTTACCTCACAAGTTAAAACTCTCACAAATACCCCAAGTCCCAATTACAGTAAGTAATACAAGGCCTAACGTACAAGGGAATATAAGAAGTATTTAGGAACTCTCTCACGCTATTGGATAAAATGCTCACTGGAATAATAATGCTCAAAAATTGTGTTACTTGCTGAGATAGATTGCATGTATTTATAGAGGAAGCAAAGTCACTAGACACCTCCCATAACTCCCACGTACACATGTCTCCAAGTAGTGGAGAGCAAGTGACAAGTGGTGGACATTGGTGTCTTCCTTTGCTTGCTCACCAATCCACAACTACCTCAACAAAAACTCCTATATTTTAGCCATGAAAAACCGAATGAAGTTTATGATAAAAACCGGTAGGTTTGGTTTATTTAAAAAGATATTTTTTGTTTAAAAAGATAATTTAATAAATAAATTAATTTGATTAATTTATTTATAAAACAATAATATAAAATATCCTTTTTATTCTTAAACAATCTTATTATAACATTATTTATCATATTCCTTCAAAACCAGTTTTATATTCCAATTGAACATTATATATTTTAACCTATATAATAAGGTGCCTCACTGAGTTCCAAAAGCCAACTTATATTCTAAGTACTTACACATAATCTAGAATCTGGGTTTGCACGTTGTACTTGTGTGAATGCTACTCCGCATTCCTAAACTTGTGTGAATGCTACTCCGCATTCTTGATTTAGTGCTCATACTTCGAAATGATCCTTGTTGCATGAACCTTTCATTTATCAAAGATTTAAAACATTCATTAGTCGAGTTTGTCAGTTTGTTCATCAAAACCATAAGGGTCAACAATATTCCCACCTTTTTGATGATGACAAACACTGACAAACTTAGGTAAGTAAACAACGTCCAAGCATGCATTTAAAAAAAACTTTAAAAACAAAAAATAAAACAAGCATACGACACAGAGACTTGATATAAATAAGTTAGTCCCAATTCAACCAAGTGTGTAATCTTTGAGATAGAATGTTATCGGGTTTCAAATAAGTGGGGGTTTCATATTCTATATTTATACCAAATGATTGAAGCAGAACAGTAAGAACAGGACCATAAGGAATTGTGGCCTTTTCATCATAAAAGATTAGATGCTCTATCATTAAAGGTAGAAAATTGATTTGAATTTTCTTAGCAAGTCAAAAGATGATTGTTGCATCAAGAAGTGAAACTGTAGTACGTTTTTGCAACTTAGGCACAATACCTTTCCAAGTAAAGGTGAATAGCAATTTGTGAAGTTGAGACAGAAATTTGTGGTGTGAAGTAACAACTCTCGGATTTCCTCCTAATAATTTAGGATTTTAGACTCATTGTACTGACCTATCTTAACTGATTGTTTATGTTTAATATAAGAACTTGTTCCCAACTCTCTCAGAAGTTTCGACTCTGGAACTTCCTTTACCTCACAAGTTACAACTCTCACAAATACCCCAAGTCCCAATTACAGTAAGTAATACAAGGCCTAACGTACAAGGGAATATAAGAAGTATTTAGGAACTCTCTCACGCTATTGGATAAAATGCTCACTGGAATAATAATGCTCAAAAATTGTGTTACTTGCTGAGATAGATTGCATGTATTTATAGAGGAAGCAAAGTCACTAGACACCTCCCATAACTCCCACGTACACATGTCTCCAAGTAGTGGAGAGCAAGTGAAAAGTGGTGGACATGGGTGTCTTCCTTTGCTTGCTCACCAATCCACAACTACCTCAACAAAAACTCCATTATTTTAGCCATGAAAAACCGAATGAAGTTTGTGATAAAAACTGGTAGGTTTGATTTATTCAAAAAGATATTTTTTGTTTAAAAAGATAATTTAATAAATAGATTAATTTATTTATAAAACAATAATATAAAATATCCTTTTTATTCTTAAATAATCTTATTAAAACATTATTTATCATATTCCTTCATAATCAGTTTTATATTCCAATTGAACGTTATTTATTTTAACCTTTATAATAAGGTGC